ACCCTGAGCCGGTGAGATTTGAACCGCTGACCTGCTGATCTAGCAGTAGCCTGCAGTGCTGCATTTAACCACTGCGCCACCTTGGCTCTTTGTATGTTCTCGGCCATATGTTTATTAAAATATATGTGTGAGTATATGTTTTCCAGTATTGGTATTTGTTTTCTCCAATTTTCTATCTTATGTTTTTAAAGAACATTTAAAATGAACAATGATGTGTGCTGAGAAAGAATGGGTGGCTAAGAACCTTGTCTGTGTAACCCCTTGCCACCCACCTGTTCTATGAAACCCATTCTAGGAAAGTTAAACCCTTGTGAGCATAGAAGGGAATCTGTGCTCTCACAGTGAATTTTTAAGAACTGAGGACTCAAAGAGTAAAGCTAAAATGAGGCAAATTCTTATACAAAAAAAAGGACTGGGAAATCAATTACATTATCTTTTTATGTTATCACAAAACATAAAACTGACTCCTATTCTTGAATAGTCTTTCCATTAACAGTGGAAAAAATATCAATTGTTTTAGGGTCTCTTCCAGAAAAGTAATGGGGTGGGTTAAAAAATGAGAAAGGTATTCAATGATGAGTTTGTACATATTTATTTATGCTTAATTTAATGGGATTGTGTAAATACAGCAAGCAAGTAGTTTGGGGATTATTTATCTGTGACTATACCTCTGTGAATGGGCGGGGAATTTAAATCTCGGGAGGGTTGAGATCAAATAGAGAAAAAGACAAAAAAAATACAAGCGCTTGATACTAGATAGTACCCAATCTGATTTTTTTTTTCATTCTTTATTGACAAACTGTTATGGTAATGGGTAGAACTTGGTTTCTTGTCCAGTGATGACCTGATTTACATAAATAAGAAGAATAAAAAGATTGTTGTGTTTTGTTGTATTTTCCTCTTCAGATTTTTCCCTCTCTCTTTTTTAACAAAAAACCAAAACAAAACATTGGTGCTGCTTCAGTGCTGAAGATGGATTTACTTCTGCAGCCGAGAAAACAAACAAAAAAGCTTTCCCATTCTGGGCTTCTGGGAAATTCAGGACCTGGTTCTACGGTGAAAACAAAAACAAGCAAAAAAATAATAATAAACGTTGCTTCTCAGAAGTGTTTGACCATTTGACTTTGTCTGAACTTGCTGACCGTCTCTCCCCCCCCCCCAAAAAAAAACAAGCAGCCTCCCCTTTCCTTTTTTTTCTGACGAGTTTCTGCTTCCGCACTGCCGGCCAGATGTGCGAGGACCAAGACGGGGGGCGGGCGGTGGCGGCGATTGTCCGGGCTCCGAAGCCCGCAGTCCCGTTGCCTTTTCAGCAAAACCGGCATTTACAGGCAGACGCAGCCGGCTCCTTTTGTTAAACGCTCTGAGAGTTGTCAGCCTCTCGCTGCCAAAACCGCAGATTGTCCCTCGAGTCCTTATTTCGTGTAAAGGAGGGCTTGCTGCCCCCCCTCCCAAGTTTTATGTTCGGCCCTGTCTACCTCCCCAAGTGGCTGCATGGTTGAGCCTATGGACGGAATGGTGAAGAAGAAAAAAACACGGAGAGTAGGAATATTAACGGGGTTGAGTTAAAGACAGGCATTTTGATTTACATTGGATTTTTGTCCCAACTCTGGGAATGGACTTGACGCCTGTCATTTAAATTCAGTTGGAGCGCTCGGCAGTTTGCTGAGTTGCCTGCAGCAAGGGAACAAAACCTCCGGCCGAAGGGCTTGTGGGGGCGATTTGGGGGGAGGGAGGAAGAACCCGAATTTAACGCTGTTTCCCTTCTGCAGAGCCCAGCTTTGAATCGAAACGGGTGATGTAGGAGTAATTCCAACTGAATTCGATCAGTTTTATTCCCAAAATTGGAATCGTTTGGATTTTCTTTTTCAGGAGACGGGGATAGGATTGAGCACCTTGTTTAAAGCAATCTATCTTCGAATTTAAAGTTGGATTCTCTGAAATTGACTCCAGCGCCAAGAGGCTTCAAACCTTCGTTTTTTTGCTTTTCCTTGAAGTTAAATAAAAGATTTGAGTCGTATTGTCGGCTGCCTTTAGATTAACTCGGCAATACCACCGAGTGATACTGTAAGAGACTTTCTCACTAACGGAAATGGCCCCTATAGAGTGAAATAAATCCTTACTCATTTTTAGACGTCTTTCGAGGGGAGGGCATATGAATCTCACAAGTAAATACAATTATTATTAAATGGACATGATCTACCAATAAGAAGACGGTCCCAATGTATTATTTTCCACTGAAATGAATTAGTGCGGGCGTATGGGTGTGAACAAAGTCGCACTCTGCTCATTTGAAAAGAAAAGAACCCCTCCCCCTAAGCCCCCTTCAGCCCTAAGACTGTAGTTTGGCGGTTCAATCAGATAGTGCAGAGGGTTAAGCCCAAGAGACCAAGCCCAGTAAACTGCCGCATCGGGATATCTGCCAAAGAAAGCTTTTTGCATTTCAAGGCGAGGATAAGTTGAGGGCAAAGACTGAAGGAAGCTTTCCGTTTTCATTTGAAGCAAGATGTTCATTTTAATCCTCCTCCCGGTTACGCGGGTTACCTTTTTATTACTCAGTGTCCCAAATATCGGGGTGGGGGGGGAGAGGAGGGAATTCATCAAGTTTTATTTGAAAGTGCACCATAGGACTGATGTCATCAACTTTGATGTTCTTGGAATGGGCCAACAAAATGCATTTTGTTAACTGAAGTTTATTAAAAGGTCCTTTGCAAAACTATCAGGTGGAAGCCTTTTAAAAGAAAAGAAGATGAAAATATGACCAAACGAAGGGCAAATATTTGGAATAACAAATTTGCATTGTGTACACATACGGTTTCAATTCTAAACAAAATAATATGCAAATATTTAAATGCCTACACTTTTTATTATTCTAATGGAAGGGGAGTAGGAAGAAACCAGAACATTTCACTGGAACAGGAACAGAAACTATAATTCCTGTTCCAAATGAATTTTCTGCAAAAGTTCCTGTTTCTTCCATGGTGCATCTAAGCAATCTTTGCCAAACCCACTTCCCTGAAATATTCAGTTATAACTCCTTCCTATAATTCTTACCCAGCATAGCCTCTGGTTAAGGATGATGAAAGATGTAAATCTGTAGGACACTGTGCCAAAATCCAGTTATTCCCTTTCTTTCTTTCTTTCTCTTTCTTTCTTTCTTTCTTTCTTTCTTTCTTTCTTTCTTTCTCTCTCTTTCTTTCTCTTTCTTTCTTTCTCTTTCTTTCTTTCTTTCTTTCTTTCATTCTTTCATTCCGAGCCCAGTGTTCCAAATTAAAGTGTTCCAAACTGGGGCCTCCAGCTGCCCTGGATTACAACTCTCACAATCCCCATTCCACAATCCCTTCGCAGAATTGAAGTCCAACATGGTTGGCCAGTACCAAGATAATGTCCTGCTGGAAAGCTTTTCTTGAGGTGTAAAGTTTTGTAGACTTGATGCTTTCTTAAATGGTTAATTAATGAAAACTAATCCTGTGTAGAACTTCATAGAAAGAAGACTACTTTTGTGACTGAGAAAAAGGTTTTAATCTTGTAGCACAATAGCATCTCTTACTAGGCAGGGAGAAAATGTCTCTTTCTCATGCAGGTTTTGCCACTGTATCAAATAGAACAGGAGAAACAGAATCAAAAGTACACCAAAGAACAAAATATTTTTTTATCCACAGTTAATTGCCCCTTAGAATGTGATCCTCAGCATACTGCGGTCATAAAGTATATATTGGGGATTTAAAGTGTTATTTGACAATCTTGTGGCAATATAAAACCACCTTCATTTCTGAAAGGGTGTGGGTTTGTTTGGGTGAGTCTAGAAAAGGCTTCAAATCGATAAAGGGGAAATGGCCAGAACACCAAAGCAAGCAGTAGAGACTGCAGTGTGGATTGTTGAAACCCTAAAACAGGTGGCAGCAACCAGCTGAATGAGGCTCATCTCCATCTCTAAGATGGACCCAATTACTATTTGAATGGGAGATCATATGATACCCCAGGGCTATAGATTATACTGTGAAGTTGACATAAAAAACTCAGAAGGCAATGAGAAACCACATCAGTATTGCTGCCAAGGGCCACGTTGCCAGGAGCTGAGTTCCAATCAGCAGAGATTTTACTTTTAGTGGAAAAGTTGACATAGATGAGACAAAGGCAGTTTGGATGTTTGAATAAGTAAAATACAGTCTTGA